TAGGGTGACAGACAAGTTATTCAAACATGAAACTTTATCAGTATGAGCATGTTCTACTAGCATAAAATCAATACTTGAAATTCTTTCAAAGCAGTGCTATAACAAACAAGTGAGACAAGGAAATGAACAATAGTCCATAGGATAATGAACCACACATACTAGGGTGACAAATAAGTCTTCCAAGCATGAAACCTTACTAATGTGAGCATGTTTTATTGGTGTAGAACTAACACTTGAAGTTCTTTCAAGTTACCATTGTATATGTATAATAGTAAGATTTAAGTAGGTGCTTTAAGGGAGTTTATTAGGTAGGAACTCCAACGACGAAGGTGTCACTAATTTTTAGATGCCCTAATTCAAGCCCTAGAGAAAAGTTTAGGAAGATTTACTATGTACATTAATTATCCATCTTCTACGCATTTGTCTCATGGGTTCAGCTAATTAATTGTTTTTTCTTTTTTCTTTCAATGAGAGGCAATGTTGTCATTTTTCTGTGAAATCTAATATCAAATTAGTATGCTTGATCACTTGCAGCAACATATCAAAAATTTAGAAACTTTTTTTTTTAACAAGTCTAGTCCAAGGGTCTTCAATGAAATTTTCTCAACAAAAATCACATAGAAAGATGCAAAGAGAGAAGGGGAGAGGAGGGAGGAAAATTTGCCACGTAAGGTGTATATATGGATCCACTTCCTAAAGCAACGTTTGTTTTGTTCAAATGAATGATAGGAGTCAAAATGCCCTTAGCTTAGTTATTTAGATTTAAAATGTATCAACTATAAGTATAGATTTTAAATCATTCATGTTTTTATGATTTATGATCCAAATTGAATATTAAGCATTTTTTATTCCCACGATTATTGATAGAAATTAAGAACTAAATGAATTTGCAGGCTTCGATATTTATTTATTTGTTCCATAAAGCCTATAATTTTCAGCATCCGAACATGCTTTTAGAATCTAACTAATCCAACTATTGATTGTTCACTTTGAACGAGCCGCTTTTTTTTTTACAACATTCCAAATGTAGCATAAATTCTCCGATAAAGCGTCACGTCGCTTAAAAAAAAAGGGAATTTTTAAATAAAAAAAAAGCGAGAAGGAAAGGAAGGTACTGACATTTATTTTTTAATTATAGACTAATATCCATATTTTAACTGCACACGTGTGTTTTTTTGTTTGGTTCAGACAATCCTATTTGAAAAAAGTTCGGACTTAAATTTGAGGAATTTGAAAGTTGATTTTTGACGGTATGAGATTAACTCTTTTCATTAGATTATAATGTCTGTTTTAAAATAGTCAATAAATGGATTTTCTTTGCTCCGTCACCTCGGCGAGTCAGCGGTAAATAACGAAATCTTACCGAATCTTCACCCAGTAATTTCTTTGTTTTTTTTTTTTTTCCTTTGGTCAACTTCTTCTAGTATTCTTAAACTTTAGTCAATAGATTTTGCAATATCAGAAATATATAATTTTCTAATTCTAGATTTACGTTTTGATATTTTCACTCTAACGACAGCGTAGTTGAGAATATTGGAGTATCGATATGCTCCCTCCATTTATATATGCCATAGCAAAAATTGGTTAATTATAATAATTATATTTGAAGATAAAAAATTAAAATAAAATATTTTGTGTTAATAAACATAAGCATATATTAATTTTTTTTCATTGATGTAAATTATGAGGAGTAATTTAAAAAAATATGTAATAAATACTTATTATTGAGATATGTAATTTTATTTATAAAAGGAAAATTAAAAGTGACCTTTTCTTTAATAAACAAAAATGGAGGGAGCATACATTAATGTAATCATCCTTAGTGCGTGTGTCACTAAAAAGAATAATGATGTCATGATTAATGATGTTAGAAAAAACTCGGGAGAACATACTAAAAATAATTTCTTAGGAAAAAAAAAACTGCCTTATAAGTTTCACCAACTGCATGACAAGTCTCCAAATGAATGGAATGTGATTCTTCAATTAGTTTGTTTTCCTATAAATAGAAATGAGCAATATTGAAAAGGGCATTGAAAAGGTGCAATATAATGCTGAAACTTAAAGCCACCTAATGTGATTACCATGCCTGCCTCCTCTGAATTTGGTACTCGGCCTATCTTTATCTGTCAATTTTTAGGATCATCCTTCCCTTTTTGGGACATTATTTAGTTATTCTCAATCTCTGCCATTCCACTGCAATCACACGTTGTGACTTGTAACTAGTGTCTGTTCTTTAGCCCCCCCCCCAAATAAAATAAAAATAAAAATAAATTAAATAAAACTGACTTCTGTTTGTTCAATTCTCAAATTTCAATTTCATGAATGAGAAAAACATAAAAACTGAGAATTTTCTCCTTGCCAAGGTTAATTCCGCTTCAATTGCTGGAGATTTAAATAATTTTTTTAAAATCTTACGGTAACCACAAGGTCCATGCGAGTTGCAAGAGGTTGCGGATAAGAAAAAAGGAAAAAAGAAAGAAAATCAACATTTTGTAACTTAACAGTGTATTATTGAGTCTTTTAAAAAAATTTAAAATATATTTTTAATTTTCTAACTTTATATAAAGTTTTAATTTAATCTTTTAATTTTATAAATTATTTTTTAGTCATTTAATCTCAATATTATTAATTTTAAATAATTATTTTTTATGTCAATTATTATTATTTAAAAAAATAAATTTAATGTGTCGATATTTAAACATATTTTATAAATATTTAAAAGTTTAATATAAAAATTTATTGGGATAAAACTAACAGTATTAAAGTTAAAAGGTTAAAAAGACACTTTATAAAGTTAACAAATTAAAATAAATTATATAAGATTAAATGATTAAATGTATATATTAAAAAAATTATATAATTTGATATATGATACAAGAATTGCATCCCATGCATGTACCCGAAAGTAGTTTTTGGAAAAGATAATTTAAGAAGCTTAATGGAATGCCATGGTGGATCATAACATAATGAGACCTGACATGAATCACATTATATTGCACCCTTCATAAAAAATATATTTTTCCCCACCAGCAGGAAGATTTTTTCCCCCCCTTAATCCATAAAAGGGGAGGGGGGGAATTGAACACTTGATGGAAGGTGGGCCATTTGGTTTCAATGAATAATTAAAAAAGAGACAGTGTGGTAAATAATTTTTCTTCAAAGAGAAAAAGACAGGGGGAAAAAAACGAATGTGCAAAAGCACCGAAATGACATCTTGACTCATAACTCAAAACTTGAACTTAAAGTCAAGTCTTTTTACATATATTAATTATTAAATTTAATTTCATTTAATGAAAGACTTTTTATATTAATTTAAATTTATTTACACTCAGATAACTTAATATTATATTGTATAGTTTAAATCTCCTAAAAAACACGAGAGTTTACTCTTGTCCCGTCATATGTTCATTCACTTAGAAGTTAATGTATAGGTAGATAATATAAAATAGTATAATTAATTCGGGATGTGATCATCAAGTGAGAAATTAAAAACAAAATCAATAAAAATAATAGATAATTGTGGAAATCGTCGTGAGAGGTGATCAACGTCAGAAACTTTTTGGTGGGGGCTAGGCATGAGTATGGTAGATGAGTGACGGACAAAATGCCTCAACCCCCATAAATGCAGAGGTCACATGACTTTTATACTCTTTCATTCACAGTCACACATAATTTCAACTACTCACTCCCGTGGGACATTCCAGCTCTGCCCTCAATCCCATGGGGGGTCCCTGAAAGATCAACCCCCTGACGCCAGCTCTTTTGTTTCCGCTCCTTATTATTCCTTTCCCATGATCTTATTCATATTTATACAGACACATACGTGTACATGTATGTATCTACAATCTACTCTACAAGCATGTATTATCACCTAATCATAACTCTCTCTCCGAAAAGCTAATTCATCAAGATATGCAATGCACTCATTTATATAAAAAAAATCTTTTTTAAATTCTTTTAATATTGGATATAATAACTCTCCTGTTCAATTCATGATACTCCTCATGAGTGGTTCACCAAAAAAATCTACTAATTAAATAAACTAGGATCTAACCTAATATCACTCTCTGAGAAGCCATTATTCTCTTTTTAAAAAATTAACTTATTAAGGTGTGCAGTGGATTTCATAACTATCTTCAAATCCTTCTAACATGAAATATGACATTATGCTCTTTTGGAAGTTCTTATTGATATCATCCATGTGACCCCTGAGCGGACAGTACGTCATGTGACTTTTCAAAGAACAATGAGAAAATAAAATCCTAGTTTGGTTAATGATTGTGATTGTAACTTGCCAGATTTATCCCAACAAACCGGATTGGCCTTCCCAAAGCCGATTCCTTTGCTTTCTTCTTAAGACATTTTCCACCTAAATTAATGTCTCGTTCCGTTTTAACTAATTGGAAGTATCACTTGTTCTTTGCATGGAGTGTTGCTCAGCATATTTGTCTTGTGAGTAACTTTATGGTGCCCATGACCTCACCAAGCTTGTCATGGTCTCTCTAGTGCTTCCTCTACCTCTCACCCTTTTTTATGCCCTTTACCTCCCATTATCAGTTGAAAGACACGCTCGTGTCACTAAACAAGAAGATCATTAGCCATGCTTTTAACATCTTTAAAAGCTTTCCAACTTACAACAAATAAAGGCTGGAAAAACAGAGAGGCGGCCAACTTAGTGAAAGTGATAGCAAAGCATGTGCAATTAGTTTTTCATGCGCTCAGTATCGAGCACCTAGATTTTGTCAACATTAGCGATAATTTTTGGTCGGTATAACGCAGTTCTTTACTTGAAACATAAATCCAGACTCGCTGAATTAAAAGGAAAAAAAAAAAAGTTGAATACGTTAGACAAGAATCCAACATATTATAGTGCTGTCCAACTTCTTTCAATCCGAGTCTCGATTGAGATCGAGACCGAGGTTGAATTGTATGTGAAGAGGAGCAAGAATTGTAGGAGAGAGGGCTCATGTAAACCGATATGAGGGTGCGCACTTAAACCTGTTTTTCTGAAGTTTTAACTCTGATGGCACAAGGCGTCTTTCGATGGTGGCGTGGTCGAGGGTCCCACTGGACACGATTCTCCCAGCCTTTCTTTACCACTACAAATACCCCTTCATTCCCTTCATTTCACGACCATCATCATCCTCATCACCTTCCTTCTTCCTTCATCTGCAACTCGCACTCACAGTGGTCTCTCGCTAGACCTCTGTTGGATGCTTGTTGGCCCCCTCTAAGGTAAATGAACCCTTCAAATTTTGAAGCTTCTTCCTCCCCTGCTCCCTGGGTTCCTTGTTTTTTTTTTTTTTTGTTCTGTTTAGGCGTTTTCCTGATCAAGTTTTGGTGTTTTTATACGCAGATAAGTAGTTGCGTGTACTTCTCCTTTGGGTTATTGGAGATGTCTGCTCAAGGTTTAATGGCCTTGTCTCTGGGGACGGAGCAAGAGACTAAGCTCGTGCAGAAGCAGGGCATAGTCACTATTCTGAGCTCTGACTGTGAGAGGAACAGAGCTACTTCTTCTTCTTCCCTGCGACGCACTCTATCCGCAGACATGTCCTCCAAGAAATGGCTCTCTCAAAATGGGTTCTTCTCTTCCATGAAGAAGACTTCTTCATCCCAAAAGTTCTCACATTCAGAAACCATCATCGCAGCTGCTGACTCTTGCTCCTCCTTGTCTGAGTCGGAATCATCAGATGACTGCGAAGAAAGGAAAGATCTGGAGGCTGAAAGTATTTGGAGCGCAATCCAAAACGACAAAAACAAGGAGAGTGAGAAACCTCGAGCGTTTGACACCTGGAGCTCCATTGTATCCCAGAAAACCGACGAGGATGCCTCCAAATCACCCCTACCTCCTCCTTATATTCATCCACTTGTGAAAAGATCGCAAAGCTCTCTGAGTGAGAAAAGCCTTGAGATTTGCACAGAGAACCTCGGATCCGAAACAGGGTCCGATGGGTTCTCTTCATACCCGCCATCTGAGACCGGAGAAACAGAGGAAGATAAGGACGAGGAGGAGGAAGAAGAAACAGAAAAAGAGACGCTCCAAGAACAACGCGAGGTGGAGGAGGATTTCGCTATGCCGAAATTCAATTACTCTGCAACTTCCAAGAAAGCTGTTCCTCGTTCTTTCCCTCCTCCACTTCCTTCCCTGACTCGTCAAGATGGACCTTCTGTTCACATGAGGTCCCGCCGTGAAAATGGAAGGCTTGTCCTCGAAGCTGTCTCCGTTCCTTCTCAGAACAATTTCTGTGCTCGTCGCCAAGACGGCCGCCTTCTCCTCACTTTCAATAACCATGCCACCGACGACGAATTCCATCATGATGATGAAGAAGAAGGAGAAGAGTCAGACGGAGAAGATTACGATGTAGACATAGAGGAGATGGAAGACGAGTTTGGGGGGTATGAGAAAGATCAAGAAGAAGAAAATGAACATGAAGAGGATGAAGATGAGGAAGGAGAGGAGGAAGAGGAGATTGACGAAAGTGAGATTATAAGACAGGCACCAATACTGTCTGGCAGAGTTGAAGGCGCATACAGGTTTGGATTAACAACGAATAAGCCAATTGGGTTTGTGAAAAGGAACCCAGAGTGGTCGGGGAAGTTGAACGAGGTGGTGAATTCGGGGGATGTGAAGATCGTGGAAAAAAGTACGACGGCGGCGAAATCACTTCCGCCCAGGCCGAGGTCGGCAAGATTGGTCCCACCAGCACCAGCAGGGGCAACTTGTGCAGCAGCATCTTTCAATGCTTATGAATACTTCTGGAGAGCCAAATCCACAGATCATCCACAGAATAACTCAACCCTGAAGAACTATAATAGCAGCAAGCGAATTGACTGCGAGGCAATTAATCAAACAACACCTCACGAGCAACAAAAATCGATGGTTCTGAGAGGGAAGAATGGCGATTACTTGGTTCACAATTTGAAGAGTTGCAAGGAGTCCAGAAGATCCTTTCTATTCTGGGAACCCCATTGTATTGCCACATCCTGAGTCACACACCACAATTACACAATTCAAGATCACGAACCCCAAGCGGTCCCACTGCTAATCCACAACACGAAATCCACTTGCTCCAATTATTAATTACTCCATCCGTTTCCCTGCCCAGTCCCGCTCTTCAGGGAGATGTCATCAAATAAAAGATGTGGAGAAGGACAGAGAGAGAGAGAGAGACTTTTAATTTGTCAGATCAAAGAAATGATATTTATATGATATTAATGTAATGTGTACGCGTATGTGTGAATTCATCTTGCTTCTTCCAATTCTTTTGGGTTTTTTTTTTTTGTTTTTTTGTTTTAGAGGTTCCGGACGGAATAGAGAACGCCAAGTCACCGCACCAAGGCTTTCGGATGGTTTGTCTTGCCTTCTCGTGCCGCTATGATATTTACAGCTCTGGTGATATTTATCCTAATCGCTCTATTCATTCATCAACGTTGTTGACATCCCGTAACGAGTGTCCAACACTGGAAGTTTTCTTTTATTGCATTCTAAATTTTTTATGTTTAGACAAGCAAGAAAATAATGATTGCATCCGCGCTTTTTATTATTAGCTTATGCATATAATTCATATAATATAATTTTGGATCATGTTTATCATTTTTTATCTTTACTAATTTCGAAATGAAAAAAGATGCATTATTTGCTCGAATGATATATTTCATTTTGAATATACGAGCAATTTAGTCTCTAGACTTCAGCTATCTCAAGGTTGTCTCTTCTACTTTGATATTTAACAAAATAAAAACGGAAAAACACAATTCTTTGTTTGATAATGGTTAATTGACTTAGATTCAAGTATTGTTGGTTATAATTAAAGGTAGTTCTTTTAAAAATATTTTTTTCATTCATACTAACTCAAATTTAAAATTTTATGTTTAAATAGTCATAATTCTTTCAATTAAAATTAATGTCTATGGGTCCTACCCAAAAAAAAAAAAATTAACGTCTATGGGTAACAAGATTCAAATTCGAAGTTGGGTGTGATCCTTGACTTTGGGTGGACCGTCTTGTCTGGGTGAGAATAATGGACGCTTGCTTTTGAATTTTGAAGGTTTTATGTGAACGGAGCCAATGGGGCTCCAAATTGGGTCACGTCCAGATTGAGTGGTCTATCTTTTTGGCAACATGACTATCCACCTCACGATATGTTTTGCTTTGCTTGCTTCAGCCCTAAGTTTAGATAGTGACTGCTATGCATAGCCAATATGAACAGATCGGCCTCTGTACTGTGCTACTGGATATGTCTGTTCCCCTCTCAACTAATAACAATGCTATTTATTACTATTATTTTTGTTACGGTTGATTAATTTAATGTCTGCATTAACTCACGAGAAAAGAAAAATGGGGCAGCACGTGTATTTTGCATTGTGGCAATAACTTTAGGGCCGAAGCAAGCAAAGCAAAACAAAATTATTGAAAAAATAATAATAATTTTACGATTATATGATTAAACAATGATAGAAGGGACAGTGACATCATCATCTACTTTAACCGAACGTACATTAGTGCGGCCTTTTCAGGTAGGTCACTTGTTTAAACAGGGAAGCCAAATAAGCCTTCCCGTCACTTGTGTTTCAAATATTTTTTTTTTAAATTAAGAAAAGTTGTTCAGTTAACTTATTTGTTTAAAAAAAATTTAATATTTCAATTATATTCTTGTTGTGCAACCTTATAATGCTATTCATCTTTAATTTACACTTTGTGCAGTCTCATAGTGCTTTCGTTTAAGTTACAAAAATAACTATTCAAATTATGGGAATGAAAAAAAATCATTTAATGTTTTAACTAGCAATTGGCATCTTATAAATTGGACCAAATTTATATTTTTGGGAGGCATTTTATATAAGAAACTGGAGGGAGTACATACTTAGATACGTGTGTACCAATTTATATACTGTTAGTATTTTTATTATCAATGTTTAATAGAAAATTATGTATATTTTTAATTTACGCGATTTTGAGTTGACCAGTTGCTTTTTGGAAGGCATTTCAGATTCAGAGACATGAATGCCCTTTAATCCTTATTCTTCCTCTCTGTTTTTTTTTTTTGGCTAAAGTTTGTTTGAATAATTTCATGAGCTCAGACTCTATTATATGAAATTGAGATGTAATATCTCTGACGTCCATGTTACCATTATTCAATGACAATAATTTTGTATCCTTACTATTAAAAATTAAAAAAAAAAAAAGGCCCAAGTAATGTCTCTCCTTTATCTGTACAAGTGGCGATTTGTTTTCGCCCCTCTGTTGTGATGAAACATGTCCTTTTTATCGCCATAGGTTCAGGCCAGAGTGGCTATTAGATTGTGAAGCAGTTCTTGACTCCTGTCTTCCTATTTTGGTTGCGTGTAGTGCAAAATTTAACTACTTCATTTGTGTGCTAACAACTAATGATCTCGATCAGTGTAGTTTCCTGGACCGGGGATGTTGAAGAAAATCTTACCTAGAGGCTACACACACATGATTGGCCTTTGCAATATAATTAGGTTTTGAGTGTTTTTTTTTTTTAACCGAGAAAATTCATAACATAGGCCAAAATAGAACTCCAATTTTTTAAAAAATAAAAATAAAATTGTTTAGAGCTATTTTGATTGCAAGTATTCATATTCTACAATTTGCTGTTCCCTTGTCATATGCTCAACGATCATTCTATCATATTAGCCGGAAACTTTAGGTTGCTCCGTTGCTTCTCCACACATGGTTAGATTATGAATTTCTTTAATTGTATTGGACATGGGAAGATGGGAGAGAAATTCTGAATAAGCATCAAGGCCTCAGTGGAACCATGGTAAACACTGACTTTCCTGCAAACATGTTCCCAATGAAGTTTCAACTCGTTCAAAATTTCTGAGTTCAGCAAAAGTAACGGAAAGGTTGGAGAAGCCCCTTACCCACGATCTATTTTCATGATGCCAGGGAAAACTCATCATTCAAGCAGTGTGACACAACACTAACTTGACACACGGGAAACTAGATATGCCTTCAACAAATTACTTCCTGGGTTCTTTTCTGAAAATTTAAAGAGTTGAAAACAGACAGAAATACTGATCTCTCATGTAGTTTTCTGCAATGTTGTCATTGGAATTTTTTTTAAAATTACAAATGGAAGCAAAAGCTTAAAGGTTGAAAAAGGAATAGGAGGGTAATTAATCCATGTCCTTGGAAATGAATATAAGATCATAGCCCATAATGGCTAAACATTTAGGGATGGTTCCATAACGTGGTGTTGATGATTAGAGTATATTGTATTGCACGTTTGCCAATCTGCGCAGGTTTCTTATTGACATATTTCATAATGCTTCGGGTTTAAGGCTAGATACCTCCCTTCATTCATTCCTCCTCCTCATCAATATATCAACATATTTTGAAAACAGAACAAAATGTGCGGCATCATTGGTTTGGCTGTAGCATTAGGTGAATGAATAAGAGATTTGACCATTTAAATTCCTCCCAGGCGGACTTCTCCCTACTTCATAACATGAGGATTGGATTTCAGCCCAAAAAAGGGAAATGACTGGGTTAATAAAATAAGAAATAATTATCAAAAAAGAAGAGGGAAAGGACTCCCAACAAGGGCCCAAAAAAAAAAAAAACCTTCCTTATTGCACAGCATTGGTGGTTGGAACTTGGAAGCATTTTCATGAAGTTTTTTAAACATAAAGTGACTCCATGATGGTCCGGTCATCGGCATACTGTAGGTTACAACATCTGCGACTATATCCAAGATATGCTCTGTCGAATTGATTAGTGCCCGCATTATCATCACTCTGGTGAGAAGCATCTAGAATGGACAACCTCATTTGCTAATGTTCATTCCATTTCTTGTGCTATTGGCAGTCAATTTGATTCGTGCATGCACTTTCCTCATTTGCTAGTGTTCATTCCAATTCGTTGGCCCAATTATTTCGCCACATAATTAAATCAGTTTCTAATTGGCAATCCTGGCCCTTGAAAGCATACAATTTGAAATTCGATTGGTCAAAATTCACATCCTGTCAGAATATGTTGATTCACACAAAAATCGTACAGAACAAGGACGAGAATTACACAAAGCAGGACTTTTATGATACATGAATGATGGAACCCCCCCATGATTTTTGATTTATATATCTCACCATTACATAAAAAAGCTCTCTTGTCCTCTTGAAAGAAGAAAGGTAATAATAACAATAGCCTAAGGACGAGGGAAAAAAATATGTAAAAATAAATGATAAAAATAGCCAGAACTACCAACCCATAAGAAACAACCGTGACCTTGACTTTTGCCTATGGCTCAATTTACAAGGGGGGTGTGGGCGAACCCCAACTCCAACTTCTAGCTTGTCAAAGCCAGCCTAGCTGCGGCTATCAACCTGCATCTGGAACTTGTATCTTCCTCTCGGGGCCTGCTAATTAAAGGCGAAAACCAAAATTACGGAAAGCTCGAAGGCTTTCGGCAGGAATTGAGAGTACAAGCTCGCATGTCCCCGTAAATGGCACCATGCTATATACAGAACACCAGAGAACCAGGCGATAGCACAAGCCAGCAATGCATAAGTATTAGGGGCAATCTTATCGATCACTATATCCAAGCAAGAGAACCACGGTCATTTGCCACTGGAGGTCGGCCTCTAGTTGGTGTTGGTGGTCTGTTAGCATTCAACTCCTGTCCATATAAATAATGAAATCCATAAGAACTTACTGCCATATAATAGAGTGCAGCAGCAGCAGCAGCATGAAACTTGTATAGGTGCAATTCACTGCAACACTCAGTTTCCAAGACAACACAAAAAATCTTTCTACTACAGTACCTGCATCCATGTATCTTCAATATGACGTTCTGGTGATGCTTCCGGTGAAGAAATGGCAGGTGGCAATGGATGGATCAGTTTAGGGACCACAACAAGATCTCTACCCAAAACTAGTATTGCCCCAGCATTATTGGCAGTACCTATTACAGCAAGGGAGTTCTAAAATTTAGGAGGGTAAATGATCCAATACGGAAAGAGCTCTGTACTTGTAGAAGCCAGAAACATACCGCAGTAGTTTGTAGCTGAGAAAAGCGTTATCAGATGTCCCTGGGCAAAACGCTCGAAACCATCCATCACACATTCATGTGCACGAACAATCAGCTGAAGATCATTGTTATTGCAGAATTCCATCACACGGTCAGGCTGCAATAGCAAACCCCATTTCAATGATACAAATTATTAACTTTAAAAGATTCGAGAGATCTTGAAAATCCAACAGCAGCAGCAGCAGCAAATCAATACTGACTTCAAGA